TTGTGTCACCATGCTAGTTTTTTTCTGAGGAAGGAAATGAAACAGATGTTATTGACACATATGTACAATTGTTTGGTATCAATAGAAAGGAAAATATGTAACTGTGTTCGTTTCACACCGCACGCACCGGTTGCTCATTGCAGCTGTAAGGCGGCCAATATACGGCGAAACCTGTTGTAAAGCCGTGTCCATATCTTGGTCATCATAGCTTCATCGAGTTCACCGTAGCCGTAGTTGGGATCGTGCAGTAGCCTTTGAACGTTAGAATGCGAGCTTCCCTCAGAGGTAAGTCCTGCAATTTATTCGGGGATGGAGAGGGCAACGTCGATAAAAATCGAGGTTAAATTTTCAATAATAATCAACTAACGTATGTAGGTCGATCGGCGAAATGCGCGGTGTATTGACATACACACAAGACGTTGAAGATGTTTACACTGTGGACGGTAGTAGCAATGGAACGTAGAAATAAAGCACGGTACCTCACCTTCCTTGGACGGACATCAGAGATGGTCTCCAAACATCCGTTTTAGTTCTCCGTCTTTGACATTCATTGACGCGAAGTTGGAACGGCAATTGTGCGCCCGGGATTCTTGACGGAATTTTTGTGCGGATGGATGAGCGGATGCAATGTGCAGAGGTCTTGGAGAATGCGTGGTAGGCGTGGTAGTCGTGGAAGAACGTATTTATTTCCAATTTTTGCAGCATGTCTCTTTAGACTCCTTGGCGAACAGCACATGTGGCTCCACAATGTCTGCAAGGAAGGGTCAGCGCGTTCCACCGTTGTACCCATTTCGTCGCACACGCATAAAAGAGCGCTTCACGTCGCTGGGTAATGGCGGTGTTCAGACGTGATATATCTCCTCGCGAAAGCATGATGTTGTGGATCGTCGATGCAGTTCCTGGAGAACGTGGCGAACTCAAAATATCGTCCAGACGATCCCTCCTCGCCGCAAAAATATCTCATCTGCGTTTCTTCTGATGGATTTGACGTTTCCTGTTGGAGGATGGTTTGGGGTGGGTGGCGCTGAGTCGTGTCCCCGTGTTCACGGCGCAGCACTATTGTTCGGTTGTAGTGCGCGTCCCCCCTTCGCATTTAGAGCCAATTTGTTCCGAGCATGATATGCACGATTTTGGTCGTTCTTGCGCAAGTCGCTGTCGTCCATTCATTGTTTGTCCTCTTTGGTTGTTGGCATGTCCGTCCGAACAGTAGACTAATGCAATTGTAGCTCGGAAATGCCAAAGTGTAGTGTAGATGTCATTGACAGTGGCGGTTTCGAGAACAGAGCAGAACTCTACTTTGCACGTGTTGCAGCAACGTTTCAAAGAGGTACTTATTTGTTTACCTTCAAGAAGGCGGTCTGCATATATATATTGCTCATGATTGTTGATTCGTTGGACGAGGACACGCTTGCTTGTGATGCTATTGGCGGGGGACCCACACATAGAAGTCGCTTGCATGTCTGCTACCCACATTCAAATTCTGTTGCATGATAGATATACTTGTAGCAATGCCAAGTGGATGTAGGATTGTGTGGTACGTGGAATGTATTTCCAGGGTGTGCAAGGTACCCCTGTTGTATACTGCGTCGCCCCCTCATGGTGGTGCGTGCTCGCGTGCGTGCAGTTCATGTCTGTTCATGTCTGTTCATGTGTTCATGTGTTCATGTGTTCATGTGTTCATGTGTTCATGTGTTCATGTGTTCATGTGAGACCATGTTTTTCATGTGAAGAAGAAGTCTAACAACAAACCCAGCGCATCTTTCCTCCTTGGCGCGAGTTCGCCGAGTTGCCGACACCCTATTCAACACACGTCTTGCGACAAGCTACCCCCAGTTCGGATCATCCTAACATTGCACAACGGTATACAGAAGCGTGGACTGCTGTGTGCGTCATAGAAAATTACAAGCTGTTTACCTTCGTTGTCGTACTCTACATACTTCGTAGTACAGTTGTAGTGTGATGGCCATCGCCCGGGTGCATGTTGCGTGGACAGCACCTGCTTGGGACAGCAGCAGCAGCAGTGCATAGACTGACATGCCTGGACGCTGTGCACGTCGACGAGTTACCATTACCTGCAGTGACAAACACATTAAAGGTCGTAATACCCGTCTGCTGCACCGCAGAGGGACGGTAAGAGGTTGTGTGTATCATACAGTCTTGCTCGTGAATCGCGTATGTGTCTGGTGTCCTTCGACGCTGTATTGTTGTTGTGCACATCACACGCTGCAAGCTACTCCTACATACTACTACAGTCCTGTGCGTTTCAGCCCCCGTGACCTGCAATGACACACCGGCAGAAGGGCACATGTTCGCTGTACAGCACTCAGTGGGAAGCTGTGTGGATCGCGAAATTACTTTTTTAACATCAACACAGACCTCGGGTTTTGTCCACTCATTATGCAAGCACCAAGAAACACTGAAAAATTGTGTGCATAAAATCTTTCAGTATTTTTTAGTGGTGCGTCCGACGATGACATTCCTATAAATAATTACCTGATCGTTGTCGGTGACTTCTCTTCAGCCACTAAAACCACGCCAGTCTTGGACCACGCATTGAGGGGATGAAGGGGAAATGCAACACAAGCCTTCATACTCTTACAGATTTAACGATCCATTAATGGATGGGGTACCGTGGTTCACTCTCCCTGTGACCGAAAAAGTACGACTTGGTCTGCGCCCGCCCTGGTAATCAGATGCCGGGTCGCTGGCATCCAGTTGTCATTTCGAGTTTTACCCAGATACTTTGCTGGGTAGGTGTCGGTGATGGTGGCCATTGGTGCTATGGTGTTGATGTTGTTTTACCCGGACAATGACGTTATGATTTCCTCTATCCTAGACGTCGCTTTCTGCATAACCGACAAGGTTGGAAGCGAACCTTCACACCAACCATCCAATTCAAGCACGACAGTCCAAACTGCAGCCCAAACAAAGTACGGCGCTGGCGAAGGACATAACGTGGACAATGCGCAAGGGCACACGCTAAAGCTGAAACACCCCGCACCACCAGGGTTCATCGCTCAAACCTCTGCGGATTATTGATCAAGGCCCTACCGCGTCACACCAAGGGTTGTTTGCACCATACTCACTCAACCGATAGGTGTTCCATCCAACCATGCTCTCCAGGTTCATTCGCGACTTTAGCAGAAAAAGATTTCTCACACTACAGAGTATTTCCCCAATATATGCAAGCCCCGATGAAATGATAGTATATACCCTCGAACACAACAGAATACCACATCCCTCAACAGGTCCTAATTCACCATTGAGAACACGTTCACTTCCCTATACTGCTTACGAAAGATCCCCCCTTCCATTCACAGGATTTCCACTACTGCAGCTTGTGTGTCTCAAACCATTGTCCATCGGAGGGGGTTGAAAGTAGGTCGCCGCATTTGTTTGCAGCCCAAATAGACTCTCTTGGACACCTGGGTCACCAAAAAAACTAGTTAGCAAGACACGTACACCAACAGGCCAACAGTCACCAGGTGCATGGGTGAATAATACACTACTCCAGGTGTTTCGTCATTCACCATAGCATTTTCGGTATTCTTCTCCTCGAGCTACTTCTGTGCCAACCCCCCATCCATATACCCCTCTCACATCACATGAATGATCCCTGAGGCACGCCCCCAATATCGCTCTCCCTAAACGTTTGGTTCACTCGACCTCCTCTACTCGTACCTCATTCATTGTGGAAAGCGCTCGGGCCGATACTTCGAACAGCCGAACAAAATATAGACTTGTGAATATATGGTACTTCGCTCGTCACACTCCCCACCTTACACCACGTCACGTAGTGCTCTTTTAGGGGCCTACATTTTGTCCATTGCAGAACATAATTACTCTATTGGGGCATGCAGTGACTTGAGATAATCATCAATTCGTCTGGTTCTCCAGGAACGTGGTCCTGCACCATCTATACTACAACCCGTTTCGACTACTACTCTCAAACTCGTGCCGCCTACGACATTACAAACAATAATTTTTCGTACAACGCTACAATCGATTTCGTACAATGAATCAACAATCAATTTTCATACAATACAACAATTTCGTACAATGAATCAGCAAGCAATTCCTGAATGTATAGACTACCACGGGGAAGAGCCTTAGAAGCAACAACCCTTTTTGTTACACGTATAGGCCATCATGGGTAGAGAGTATTCTTTCGGAGAAATGTTACAGCCGTTTCACTTCGCTGGCACAAAAGCTTGAGCCTTTCTGCGATACGGCAATGGCGACCCCCCACCGTGTCACACTCTCGCAGTGATTGAAACCGCCAGGGCGAAAGGTGCATAGCACCAGAAGAATGGGATTGTGACCGAACATCCAGTCAGTAAACCCATAGCCGTCCTCGAGCCACGTAGCACCCGCTGGTATGGTCACGTTTCACGCATCTAACTCCATCGAACCTTGTTTTCCAGGTCTTGGGGGGGTGGTCAGACAACGTCGAAAGCGAGGTTATCGCCTTTGCCGGCGCTGGTAGCCACTTGCAGCACGCGCTCGAAGGACACAGTGCGGCAGCACATATTGCCAACGGAGGCAAGCTGGGCTCCCGCCGGAACAACCATTGCCCCAATCTGGAGATCGCCAGACAGGAAGGCTCCGGGGAGCATGGGCTCACCTGAATGCGGGGTTCATTGGCGAACGTCAGAAAATGGCAATCACGGTCGAGCCGTAGTGACTCCCCGGGTGGGATTCGACAAATGATACAAAAACTGCGACCGATTCTGCTACTGTTGCTGCCCTTTTTCCGGTTCTATTCTACGCTATTGTTGTTGTTGTTTTCACCGTTAACCTGCTGCTGCCGATGTAGTGCTCGTCGTCATTCTCACAAGTACCACGATCTGAAATGCATCCTGTACGAAAGTACCTGTAGCATCGTGTTCATTTCCCTCGTTCAGACAAGATTTCTTGGCCACATCTCACCCCATCAGGGTACGCGCGAAAGAACGTGAGTACATCCAGAAAGAAGTTGTAGACAAAATTCACAAAACATTTTACAGACGGTTTCGAGGAATATGACAGCGAGTGTCAAGTCGGGATCGGGGTATGAACATTGAGCGCTCCTTCGAAGCATGGAGTTCGCTTCCGACTGGTCGGAAATCCAACATGACCATGCATGCAAAAGCAACGTCTAATTTCTTGCCTGGCACGTGACCCCGTGACCCTTGGTCTTCCTGCTCCCGTCCCTTGGGATCCAGGCGTTCTGCGGCCTTCGCTGGTCTGAGCCTCAGGACGCACAGGGTTGATCCTTTCGCGCGTTTCTCCCACCAGAGTGGCCGCTTTCTCAATTTCTTGCGCTCGGCGCGTCTTTGTGCCGCCGCTGCCGCTGCGGCCGCTGCCGCCTCCACCGATATCTGGGGGACAGCATCCATCGGTGACGCCTCGTCCCACCTCTAGAGGCACCGGAGGGCAGGGGTTGAATTGAAGCGTGCACAACTCTTGAAGCAGTAGGCCGTGCACCACGTCCAAAGACGGAAGCACCGCTAATTCTAATTACGACTCCGCACTATATTGGCGCTCTCTGCTGCAACATCAACATGAAACTCTTGGGTCGGAAGGTAGGGGAGGTATGCCTATCGTACTGCGCAGCCATCAAGTTCGATTCCAACGTCATTGCACCCCTCCAAAGGTACGTACATAGGGGGGCTTCACCGAGTGGGAATAGTGAGTTCGAGTGGTAGTGAGTGAATTGGTGCAAAATGGAGGAGTATTCTGCGCATGGAACCTTGTCTCACGCTTCTACAAGCCCTAGAATGTGCGATTTGCGCACTTCAGTTCAAGCAAGCCACGAAGAAGCGGTTTCTCCGTCCGCCGGGGTTATGTTCACTACCTCGGCATGAGATACAGAATGGTGAACGGCAAACTCAATATTATGATACCTTTCATCACCGTTCACTCTAAGAGCGCCAAGGAGACTACCCTACCAGTGCCTCCCTGGATGTGACAGTTCCGTCGGTGACTCAGTGATGAAAAAGAAGAAGCGGCCAGGCAGGATGACGCCGGAGTATACAGAGGCCTACAGGAACACCTCGCTGACCTTGTAGTGTTGCTGTCGGTCCTTGCGCCTTGCCCTAGTCTGCGGGCGCGGCGCTCTCTTCGCCCGGGGGGGGCGGGCTGGAGCCTTGGGCACCTCATTTGCCTCCCAGGGGGGCGAGGGACTTGGAGAGGCTCTGCTTTTGGAGATCTGCGCTTTCGTGAGGAGTGGAGGCGACTTGCTCTTGCGGACGAGGAAGAATCGCAGGACACCACCGCTCGGAGTCCCGGAAGCGCATGTGGTAAGGGCCTTGGCGACCTTTCCGAGAAATCTTGAGAGGCGGGTACACGCGATGCACAAGGTTGGTTTGGCAATCAACAGGGGTTGGGACACGAAGGACGAGCAATGATGAGGCCAGCACACACCATATCGTTCGAGTGAACAGGAACAAGAACGGTTCATGCGGACATGTCCGGACCTGATAGCTGTTGACGCAAAAAAACACAGAAATGAAAAGCTGGTAGACATACGCCATCCTCCTCCTCACACGAAGGTATTCTTGGCGTTTTCAACACCGTCATTGCACGTAAAGCCCCCTAGAGAAAGCGTGGCGCTCCGACGCTTTGTCCGATCGGCCAGCGGTGCACTATTCGCTTACAGTTTGGCAGGTGCACCACAAGAATTGAATTTTACACCCGGCCATTCCCGAAACAGTTTGTTGTGGCCAGACGCCTGTTCTAGCAGAATCATGCACTATCAAACTTTTGATACCCGTGCTAGCCAAATCTTCGCCATACGCTCATAGCCGCACTCACCCAGCCCTCGATAGCCGAACCAGTGGGTACCCGTTTATGCCCACGAGAGCGTCTTGGACCCGCACGCCGTAAAAGTCCGCCAGGGACTCGGGTGCCACGCTAATGACCTGGAACATTGGTGTCACCATGTAGATGGTATTCTCCATTGTTGTTATCGACTAGGCCATCACCAAGTGCGGTTTGTGGTGTCGCAAGCAAGACATAAACCTGAGTGCTAGCAGGAATGAAAGAAATGATTGTAGAAAATGAAGCTCGGCATCGCCATACGTTCAGCGCACACCAACCACAACCGACGAAAAGCTCGACGTCGTGACAACCGACCTGAATCAATCCCGAGCGCCCTCGACCCTCTTCCCCTCCTATCACATCAAGCCCAAGCTTGCCGGGAAGGCTGTCGAGAAACGCCTTTTTCCTGGCGGCGAGGACTGTGCGCTCGGCTTTGCCGCAGGGGGGTGAGAGCTCGGCGTCCGTCTTGTAGCTAAAGGCGCCCTCCAGAAGAGTTTCATTCGCCGTGAAGTACATGGAAAGGAGCATCTCGGCAAACGAGTTTCCGTACTGTAGCCAGTGGGGAGCGAAACCAAACGCCACAGGCCGGAAGATTGAATGAAGGCGTGGGGCGTTAGCGTCCTCATGTGCAAGCAGTACCCCAACGCTTTGGTGCAAAAAGAACGATCGAGTCGCACTACCAGTTCCTTTCGTGGCATGATCTAGGACTCCGCGTTCCGGTGACCGGAAAGAATATCAGTGAATCCCTTCTGTGTCCCAACAGGAATGAACGCCGTTCACAACTGTAGGAGTGAATTGCAAAAAATAATCGCGTCGTCGATTCTATCTTGGACAGCTCCTGACCTGGTGGGTAGTCAATGCAATTCCTCCAACGTACGCCGGCGTCGGCGGAGGTATGTTTTCCTTTTCTTCGTCAACGTCCGATAAATTTCCGATAGGCCTGAAGGGGGTCTCCATGGCTATTGTGACGTGGCCTTTGCCCCCCTGCAGTAAACGTTGCGGAGGCGACGGTGACAGACCTCGTTAACAAACCCCAAGCCCCACATCAAAATAGAACACCAACAATATATACTGTCGAAGGTTTGGCGTGCCAAGCGCATGGCAGACCACAGGGGCAAGAAACAGAGACCACAGAAAGGAAGAGAACGGATAGCGCAGGAGACGGTGGGGTACTTCAATGGTGACAACGTGGAGTCCAGAGAAGAAGAATGGGCAATACTCACACTGATACTCTATTCTACTCGAGACGGTGGGCTAGCGTATGCGATGGACCTAATACAGGAGTTTCGAAACAGGATATGAACTCATTTGCTTTAGAGAGCAAAGACGTTCTAGTGTGAATAAGGGGGAGGGGGGCGACGCTGTCAAGGTTCTGCCCATGTCGCAAGATAATCAAGAACAGATAATGGAGACTCAAACGTTTCTACATAGCTGAACAAAATGTTAGGTTGGTTTGGCACATCGGGCGTTGACACGTACAGAAGGCCGGTGCCATGCCTGGTCTTATTCATCCATTTCGGGGTCAGGCTATGACCACCCAAATCCGTTTCATACCGTCATCGCACGGACGAACAGGTATCGGGTGGAGGTGTGGCACAGCTACAAGGCCAATGGCATTTCAAACACTGCAAATGCGTGCATGCTATGAAGCATCGATAGACCAGAACCAGCGTCGAAAGTGTCTTCTTTATGCGAGGGCAATGCACCACAGGGGCAAATGACAGGCAAGATCACCGATACCCTGAAAGGTGCCCCCACCCTCCTAAGGGTTCAGCAGCCGGTCGTACGAGGCCGAGAGTGAAATGAAAATCATGGCTCTCACATCATCGATGACCTCCATGCCGGGAGCCACACCCCACTGGGAGAGAAGCCCCCCTTCAACGACCGAAGCCACGGACGAAGCGACGGTGCCGCCGCGAACCTCCTGGTCCACCTCGAGTCCAAGGCTTTGGAAAACCGACTGATCATCACGCTACGCGGCATCATGCGTCACGGCATAGGTAGTGTAAGTAGACTGCGGCCAAGGTGTAGTGAAATACGTCCATCTATTTTCGCGCATGGACTCCGCCGCCAACTGTTGATATTCGTTGCATTGCTCTGGCCACGTGCATAATGAAAGGTAGGTCTGGGCTTGCCGTGCACATGCGAATTCGGCATGTTTAGAACGCTTCTCTCTGCGATTTTCAAGTATGGGGCTGGATATTTGGTTCTTACTGCTGCCGGATGCCAAAACACTTCGTGCGGTTCTCGACAATGTCCTCACAGTTGATACAATCTATCGTATCTTGTTGTTGCGAGACATCTTGGGAAATCGATGGTCACTGCCACTATTGTCTCATGCTCAGCATGAAGATTACTGTAGCTTTGCTGGAGGTTCGAGCCGACAATTTGGGGATATGCCGTCGCCCGACACATGTATCGGGATTCGATCCCCGCGGCAAATGGCCGCCGCCGGGTTTGGGTGTGTGCCATACGTTGGAAAACGAATGCGCTCACAACGCTCCATCTTGGCGGAAACTTGTATCTGGGGATTAGAGTTGGTGCATGGACAGCGGGGCAGCATTCTGCTGTGTGGTCAAAAGACAATGTCGTCATGGCACCGTGTTCTGCACCTCACCTCCGACGTCTTGCGCGGCTGAAATTGCACCAAAGCTTGCCAGCACCCCTCTTCCTCCCCAATCGCGCCGACAGTTCCAATCTTACGTATCGCATCAACGGTGACATGCTCGGTCTCCCTAGCACGGGCTACTCCCACTGGATACGCCTCCTCCACGCGTCCCGCTCCAACAGTCCCCTTCCCCCGCAGAAAGGCCCGAACATCCCTAGCGAATCTCGTCAACGGGGGCTGGGGTCTGCCTGCCCCCATGGGCACCCCGAAGGCGGGGGAATGGTAGATGTTGGGGCGCCTCCTCACTTTGTCCACCGGTTTCAGATACTCCTTCGGTTCCATCCTGGTGTTCAGTTGTCTGTGGGGTGAAGTTCACGATAGGGTTTCATTCCGGCTGGGAGAGGAAGCATGCGTGTGTTTTGTAACACAGACGTGCTGGACGCAGAAATGGCTACAGCGGTGACGATTAACGGGCCGATCTGAACCCCGGAGACCTCTTGCGTATTGTGTGGCAGACTCTCCCCACATGTTTGCCAAAAGTGACTGTCGTAGATTCACGAGTCATATGCAAGAAGAGTCCGTTTGGTTTCATGCTTTGTTTACGTGCACGGGTACGGCGGAAGCGGCGCGATAGCTTCATGCTCCCTATTTCGGGTGACAGTGCTGCTTCACCAATACTCGGCTGCGCGTTCTGCGGCATTCCATTCCATTGAAGCATGGCTCAATAATGTGGCAGGTCCTGCATGTTGGTACATGCAGCTCACGTAGACCCTTGCCCTCGCAAAAGGTGTAGCGGACAGGATAGGGCGGGAGAGAGGCAGAGTTCACGGCCTGCACCTGCAACCAGTTTGCAGCCGCACAACCAGCACCGTGCATGCACTGGCAATGGCACACGGGTGGGAGCGTCGCATGCCTTGAGCCCTCCTTTCACACCCAATAACCCTTTCTGTAAACTCTCATCGAAACTTCATGCTGCTTCACCTTTTTTTGCACTGGGCCTTGTTGATGTGAGTGACCGCGAAAAGAGAGTCACAAGGCTACCTCCAACTATGTTGGTGTGGATGTTTATGAGCCAACCAGGTTCAGAGTTGCAACTACCACGCACTCTCGGACGAATCCCACAAGGAAGGCCCCCATCTTGATGCTTTTGGACCCCCACCTTCCTTGCTGTCCAGTGTTCGAGAACGATCCTCGGTTTGCTTGCTCGCGCGGTCAGGTAGGATCAACGGCGGCTTGGTGTTGGCTCGTTCCAAGGTAGGATCTTGGAAGTTTCACCCCGCCCTCATCCAACAGGTACGTTGTGTGCTCAGCGCTGGTCCCTTGTTGGCCACACTTGCATCGCCCGAGGGAAAAACTCGCTGTTGTCCTTTCGACCCGCGGAGACAAGCAATCACACTTTGGGGTGCGGAATTGGCGGAATGATTGCCGGTAGGCCGGGAGTACAACAGTCCCGCATGATAACGCCGTCCAGCCGCATACACACTCCCCAAACCCTCGGTTGACCAACCACATCTCATTGATTGCTGCTTGCCAAAGTTGTTAGGCCTGGGATACCCCACTATCGTGGCCGACTTAGCGATGTCCTTCGCTGCCGAGCACCAGGCCTGTTGGTTCACATTGCAAAACATGGAGTACTGCAGTAGATGACTTTGTACTCCATGCAATTTCATGAAAAAAAAATTGCTCAAGGTCACGCAACAGCTGTCACGTTTTTGTTCTGGGGAGAAGGCATGTCACAGCGTGCTGAGGTTTTGGGCTTGGCAGACAAGGGAGGCTGGTTGAACCACGTGCATGTCTGCCTCCCATCATCGCATCGAGATTTTGGTCGCTGCGTTGCAGACTCATGTACGTGGTCTACCCCTCGCTGTACAAGTCTCTACAGCAGTAGGCACACGAGGTTTGTTACAACTGCTGGGAGTACATTGCAGAGTCCGCGACACCCATATCAAAATAACCGCTTGTTTTCGCTCTCCGTTACGGTCTGATCTTTGCAACCTCCATTCATGCCCTCACTGACAAAGTCATGATCAGCGCCGATTCACGGGGAGCCAGACTCCGGCATTCATCCAAACACCGTCCGCTCGTCTGTCTCACGCGTCAGACCACGGGGATGAAAAATTCACCAGAATAAAGCCATCGAGCCATTGCAACGCCCTCGGCTCCGCTTTCAGCTTACAGCCAACAACCAACATTACCTGCTGTCGCATCGCCTACTTGGAGCACAAGTGCGCCACTACTGGGGTGCTCCGCCAATGTTGTTGGTGCCTCTGTTGAAGCCGCGCCACCGCCTTGAACGCAGCGATGTCCTTCCCTGATCCCGAAGCTGAGGAACAAACGCTCCACACTTTCTTTGGCGAGCACATCCCTGGAGGAGAGACATCCAAGCTACGCCCCGCTTGCACGTTTGTGCAGCAGTTTATCGCACAGGAGCTGTGGTGGGTGCCTGTACGCGATCGTCGACATTCTCTAGTGCTTGCTACAGCAGTAATCCCATCACACAGCGTTGCTTTGGCCCTTGTTGGCGATGACCTGCACACTGCACACATCGCCAAACATGCGGCAGGCCGGGTCTGCTTTGCCCGTTTGGCAACTTTCGTACCGTAGGCAGCGTAGGTCTAGACTACGGGTGCGGAACAACGTTGGTGCTGCCCGCGAGCGGATGCTCTCGAGCGTTGGAGGCGAATATCTCTCCCTCCTACTGCAACCGATTTTGCTGAGAGTTTGTACTCCCAGCAGTTGGCGTGGCACGGAACGATGGTATGTCTGTGTCTCGCGTGCGTTTTTGCCGCAACTCTCAGCAGGACGCGGAGAGGCAGCTCATGCACGTTTGTCGTTTTGTTTTCCGTCACGCGAGCCAAAACACCCGCATCAAGACGTGGGTGCAGAAATGTGTAGTGCATTGCGATTCCTGTGCGAACTTGAGGGCATCATCTGTCTCCAGCATGAGCTCATCGTCTCACTGCTGCGTTGCTATTGCTACTGATCGTCAAGGCAAGGATGCAAGGGATCGGTGCCGTCCTGGCGTGTGCATGACTGCAACCTCCCTGCTGACTTCACCCGACAGCAGTTGATCCCGACCACAAAGGCACGGCGGGACATCCATGTGTTTGGAAGCTGTAGCGTGTTAGAGTTCCGAAACAGCGGTAGGGATGGGAATCATGACGAAGTGACGGTGTACCAGATACCTCGCACCACTCGAAGCAACGATGATGGTGTACAAATTGTGCTGGGTGCGTACAACCACCTCGCCTTCCTCTCCGCCACTTCGACCCGGCGGTGCCCCCTTCCTTCCCTCCCTTTGCCGTGGTGTTTACACGATTTTTTTTTCAGTGGAACGATCGCCAACGATCCGACTTTCGATGATCTGTGGATGCACTTCAAGGCGATTTTGGGCGGGATTTTCGGGAAGCAGGATGCGACGAAAGGCCCCGAGAGCGGCCCCACTTCTCGTATTTGCGGGAGCACGACTTTCGAAAACAGCTGGATGTTCGCCACGTGAGTTTTCGTTTACGACAGGGCTGACGAAAGCAAGCAATGGCAACCATGTTTATCCGCTCGGGGCTCGAACATAATGTCCGCCTAAGACATTTTCAACTGCGAGATCATGTGTAGGTGCTAACTCGGCGTGGACGGTTTCCGGTTTCCCTACAGCGGTCGTAGCGGGTACAGAAACTTACAGCGCAGACGAACCCCAAAAATGGATGCGTGTTGGTGCGGTTCCAGGGCTTGCAGCGCGATGTGTGTGGTTTCCGCTGCGGCCATTATGTGAAGGGGTGAGACCACTGCATTGTGCCAACAAACAAGCCGGGGGTGCAGAACACGGCCTCGTCAAGCACGCTGGTCCCCTGTCATCGCCTTATCGTGCGGTGTCGATGGTCCGCCCAACCCTGGCCGAATGTGTCATGGCTCTCTCTCTCTCTCTCTCTCTCTCTCTCTCTCTCTCTCTCTCTCTCTCTCTCTCTCTCTCTCTCTCTCTCTCTTTCTACTCTCTCTCTCTCTCTCTCTCTCTCTCTTTCTACTCTCTCTCTGACCCTCTTTCTATTGGCCGCTTGTTGATGTCATCGTCCTCCTACATGTAGTTTGCATTGGCCTGCCGTTGTATAACATACCACTTGATTGAGGAAGCTGCATGAGGGCAGGCACCGCTCCCGCCGTTTCCGTCGATGTTGTCGGGAATCATCCGGTGACAGGTTGCCTCCCTCTCTCTCGCTCTTTCTCTCTCCCAACCAGCACCTCATTCTACCGCCTTTCGGGCCTCTCCGACGCCCTGAAACCAACGCGGGCTGGAGGGTCGAGTAGCAGGTGAGGCCGGAGGGGGGGGGCGGCGAAGGAGGAGGGGAAGGGGGTTGTACCACCGGATTTTTGTTGCCGATCCACTCGAGCATCTGCCAACCGTCCTCCTTTGGGGGACGGACGAGTGCCTCAGACATTATTGTAGTGAGCAACGCTGTGAATTCATGTTGCACGGGCGGGGTAAGGGGTCGGGTTCGTTGTCATTCGTGGTAGTTTCGTCCAACCACAAGCTGTTCGCCTTGGATAACTTTGACCTACGTATGGATAACATGGGCAGTATTTTGACCAAATTGTTGTTGAGACACCTACTATTGCTGTGTGTTCCAGAGTCTCGTGCGTACATGATACTCGGGGTATCTCCGGCGATCCCTTGCGTTTCGGCCTTGAAAAGACTCCTCCACTTTGCCACTGCTGCTGTACCCACGCCGAGATTGCGTCTTGACCGCATCGGAGCTCGCTTTCATTGCTCGATGTTGCCCGTGATGAAACTTGCCCTTGTGTTGGTGCGTTGCCGTCACGCGGCAACTAACATTAGCAGCAACAGCAACGGTAGGAGGAGGAATAGGCCGGGCGATCCGAGATTGTGCGGCATGGAACCCATGGCGGTTTCGCTGCTGTCGCTCCTGCTGGCTCGCCCCCCGGAGTCGTCTCCTCCTGACACCAAGAATCTCTTCAGCGTGCTACTGTGAGTACGTAGCATGATGTACCTGGTATCTTCACTACCGCCTCCAGCCGTGGCAAGAAGGAGCCTTTTCGGCCTCTTTCGGCACCCTCAACATTCCAGATGAAAAGCTGAAACATGTTTCGCTTTGTTTTTTTTTTTCACGTCGTCCAGAACCGGCGCCCCTCACACGTAGCGAAGAAAGCGCTGACCCTAAGCCAGGAGTCCCGCAGAATCATCGGAGTAAATAGGGACTGGGGGGGCCGTGGCACGGCTAGACACTTTGTCGCGAAATGACTTTTGATATTGTTTTTGTTACGCGCGATGCCGACATGTATCGGATTCTCCCTTCGGCGTGCATGCAAACCCAACGCCGTCTGCTGTGTGGAGGGTAACGTTAGGTTGGGCCCGTCCTCGTGGGGGTGGATTCGAGGTACAGCGTTAAGCGACAATCATTTGAACCGTTCGAGCTGCGGGCAAGTTTTGGCTTTGATGCATTCCGCTTGAAAACAAGGCGCTCTCGTTGCAGACCCGCCACATCGCTTGCAAATTGGATGTTGGGTGTTGTGGTGCTGTGGCGGTGTTGGCCGTTGCGGTGCATGCAGCAGTGAAGAAGCAACACCTCGCGGTCGATATTTCCTACCCTTCCGTACAAGTTCGCCTGATCGCTGATGCTTGCACACACCTTTAAGAAATAATGTCTCCCCCCGGTCACCAGAAAACAACGGAAATATCGATTATCTCTATCTTTAACTATGTTGCCATACCCGCCTCCTTTTTTGGCGTGCTCATTTTTTTTTTTCGGCGTTGACAGAGAGCCGCAGAAAGTGTGGTACTCCTTCACGTGTACGAGCCCACCCATGCCGCCGCACACTCTGGCCTTTCTGAGGCACGAGGGTTTGCCTGGGCTGGTCTTGTTCGAGAACTCTCGGCTCTACACGCACTGCCTTTCGAGCCCACCTAGGTACAGTACGCCTGCTGTGAGTGTTTGTCATGGGGGGGTCGGCGTTTCAAGGAGAAGTGGGGAGCGTGGGTCGCTCAGTCTTCGCGTCCCTTAGGCTTCAGGTCGTTGGCTGCGCATCTTGTCTCCCTTAGGGGCGTCGGGATCACCGTTCCGAGGACCGTTCTGAGGATCGTTTTTTTCTCTGGGTCATGCCGTGTTTTTTCAGCTTTGTGGCAGCTCGTGACGCGATTGCGAGGTTGCTGTTTTGCGACAGAGTTTTCATCAAATGTATCGGGGATCGTGTTGCGAATGCCACTCTGTGGTGGTATGTTTTGTCCCTTCATACCAGGCAGGCTTTATCAGCTTCGTTGTTTTGGTCAGAGTTGGGATTGCGTTTGTACGTTTTATGGACAGACAGTGGCAAGAAGAATTGTGGTAGCGTACAGGTCACAAATCCCTGACGATTTTCTTCGATTTTCATGGCCCGATTACTCTGCAGCGAATGCAGTACAGTAATGATGCGGGAAATGATGGCGATGGAACGGTCTCGTCGAGGTCTTTCCGACAACGCCTCATCTGATTTGCCATTCTCTTGGCCATGGACGTTGTTTATTCGTGTGGTATCTTTGCAACCTGTGGTGTACACCTGCTGTATCATGTGCTATGACCCCAGCAACCGCTGTCCCCACTTCCACCGTCGCCTCTTTCTCTCCACTTTTTCAGCTTGTTCCCGCAGGGGCGGATGCCTCACCACGCCGTGAGGTTTCAGGAGGAGGTTCCAGGAGGCGACCTTGTGGGCGGAGGGGCAGCTGCCGAGGTCGTGAGGGCCGCGCCCGATCTCGAACTGTCTACTCTGGAACTGTACCTGTTTCACTTCGCCTGGGTACGGATAAATTGTATGATTTCACCGGTTTCGTTGTTTGTGTCTTTGTGTATCGTTCAAAAGCCAGAACAGATTAGAAGAAGAGAGTTAGTTCTTTTTCTACACTTTGCTCGACATGAGTTCTTCTGCCTTTGAGTGCAGCGCCTGGGCAAGCCGATAGTAGGTTCACAGCCTGTTGAGTTTTGTTTTTTTGGCTCACCCACAACCACTACTGTTACTTGCCCGGAAAAGGGAATCAGAGTGGACACTGGCTGTTCACGAGCATTGGCAGCAACTCCAGGGGTCGCCCTCCCTAATGACCCACATGCACTACGCTAAGCACACGCGGCTGGCTCTTCTTTCCTGTTTTTTTGCCACAGTACGCCCTCTCCTCTTACGAAGACTTCTACCACGGTCTCGAGGGGCCCGGGCGACTAACCGTCCCCTACCGGACCCACCACTCAATGGAGCCCGCGTTTCGGCAGGAGAGAGTCGCTCTGGGGTGGCGCAGGTGGGTGTGCGTGGGGGGTATCATTGTTCGTGGAAATATTGGCCGCGGTGCCCCGGCTCATCAGCATTAAGCCGCCAGTATCAGCGTGAAGTGATGAAGGTGCTCAGGATGTGGGGGAAGATTCACAAGTGTAAGGTTTTTCTTTTGTTGGCGGCATGTAACGCGCTAACTTGCTAGGGGGTGGGGGGGGGGGTCGCGGAGGAGGATTGTGTAGGGGGGCCTTTCATGTCTATGTGGGTATGCCACGAGGCCTTCCTGAAGGTATGGATGTGTTCATTGGAGAGCCGCAAGGCTGCACACGTGTGAACAAAGTGTGAGAGTGCGCATGATCACCGCCAATACCCCAGCGAGCGTTGCAGGTGTGTTGCAAGAGTGTGGTGTGTTTTCTTTTCGTCGGCAATCGAAGGGTTTCCTCCCTTGAAGATTCGACCCTGGAATAGGGCCACGGACAGTCAAGGAAGGCCACCGAAATAGGGTACGACCACTGATATCGGAGCGTGTCTACGGACAGCACCGATGCAGGTTGTTTTTGCCGTCGTGACCATGCAATAGCCTTGTTTTGTTCTTTTTCCGTCGGAACCCTACCCCTTATGTCGTTTTGTTGCGTGGCGCTTGTGGGCCCCCTCCCGCCTGCCTCTCATCCACTCTGTGGGGTTCACTATCTCATCCACTCTCCATTCACTCTCTCGTTCTCTCTGAGCTCTCGTGGTCACTCTCTCCCTCTCGTTCGCTCTTCTCGCGTCCATTATATCATTCACTAAATCTCGCTCACTCTCTCTCCTTCTCCTTAGCCTCCCTCTTCCCCTCTCTCGTGTTCACTCTCTGTCGTTCAGTCACTCGGTCGCTCCCATGTTCTCTGATGTACGCTCTCTCGACCTTCCCACCAATCTATCTTTACGTTTCAAAACTTGAGCAACAGGCATGGAGTGATCGGGCTGACTCATCTGAACCCCTACTTGACTCTCCTCAAGGACTATTTGGAGGCGTTCTTCCCTCACCGAGGCGGTGCCGGGTGAGACCATCGACTCCGTGCCTCATGAACCGCTTTTTTTTTCCTTCGCCTATGTACCGCTATTATCAAAGCGAGGTCGTGAGAACCGGCGTGGGAGCAAGGACGGCATCGTTGAAGTTTGAGTGGAATAGGGTTCGACAGCAGCGGTATTTTTGTGATTGTTGGTAGTTTAGCTAGCGGCCCTACAGCAATTCACATGGGTGATGGGTAGGAGTGTCCTGCGAAGGGGGTAGTTGTTCCAAGTTCCAAGTTTTGTAGTAAAGTTATGGCATCTGGAAGGCGAAGAAGCCGCCAATTGTGTCATGATATGTACATGCGTGCGGCGAAGGAAGGGGCAACTTGCCGGTGCATGTTTTGTTGAACAGTTCGCGTCGTCTAAAACGCGGTGTAGCCCAGAACAGAAACGGTCTTGCCTTGCCTTGCCTTGCCTTGCCTTGCCTTGCCTTGCCTTGCCTTGCCTTGCCTTGCCTTGCCTTGCCTTGCCTTGCCTCCCCAATGACATGAGTGCGATGCAAATATCTGTTCATATCGCTGAACATGCGATTTTGTTTTGCGCTCTAACAAATATGTCTTTGCCGCTGCTGCTGCTGTTGCCGCTGCTGCGGGGACCCTTGCGCCATCGCATTTTCTTTTTTTTTTACGATGATCGTCAGCATCGGTGGACTGGGCGGGGGCGGCAGCGGGACCGGAATGAGCCTTCAGGGCGAGCTCTTACTCCGGGTGCTGGTGGAGTTCTGGCTGGAGGGCAACACGGTTCTTCGACCGGGCGTGCTGAAAGAGGTCAGAGGAATGAAACGGTCACTGCCACGACGTCACTGCAGTTTCGGACAAGGCTCTTCCTGCGTAAACCGTCCGTCATGCTGAGAGTTGCTATGTGAGAGCGTTGCTGATGTTGCTGCTGCTACTGCTCATGCTGCTGCTGCTGTTGTATTTGTTGCTGCTGCTGCGGCCGCTGCTGCTATTATTTTTGTGGCTCTCTATATTATTGTCGCCATTATTGGGGGCGCTGACGTCGGTACTTGATAGGTTCCCACGTGTTTTTTTTTTATTTTCACCTTCACCTGGTACGAAGACCTTGCTCATCCGGTCTCCGTGCCTCAGCGACTTTCCCTCGTTACCTCGGCGCCCTTCATGACCTCTCAGCAAGAAGAACACTACCACCTCCAACAGCAACAAGCCTGGGGCAATAGCAACAACTTGCATCTTCCAGCGCCACGCACAACGACCAATTACGACCCATCCGTCGCGCTGCTGCATAGCGAGTACATCCCACCTACCGACATGTCGGTTCACGGACTCTTGATAGTGTCTGCGCACCTCCTGGCGGACCGCAAGTAAGAAAATACTAAATACTGTGTGTACCTTTTTTGGTGTCGCTTCGGCAGAGAATTCCTGCCGGAGCTCGTCTGTTTTTTTTCTTTATGCGTGTGTTGTATCTGTTGCCTTTTCGGTCGAGATTGTCGTTGGCCGACGTACGGCAAGTAGGGGTGTTGCACCTTCTCGAGGGGATCAGCCGCATGATCTGGGAGTGAATAGTTTCCTTCATTGTGACAGACGCCGAGTTCAATGACAAAACCCCAAAGTCCCACGGAAGTAATGACAGGGATTGATGTCACAAGTCTTCCGCCGGAGTGAATATGTTCCCAACGGGTATGTTGGGATAGACGCGGTGCATTAAAGACAAAGCCGAATCCGATGGAAATCCGAAAATTGTGTGGTCTCTCCGTTATTCTGGCAACACCTTAGTAAATGTGCAGTGAGAAGCGGAGCTTCTTTCTGTACCCCTTTTTTTTTCGGGGGGGGGGGGGGGGGGGTGGCGATAGGAATTCACAACTGCGCCGCATCACTTCGTAGTCCCACGTCTCGCTATTTTAGCTGTGTGGGTGATTGATGCCCCCGAGATCTACCCTCCGTTTCAGGCTCAAACTGATCCGACGTACCCCACGCGCGTCAGGCTGAAAGAGGCCTGTCGCCGCAATCTGGACCTTACAGGAGGGATGCCTGCGGCACCGGCAAGAACCGGGGAGGGCTCCAGCGAGGGCGAGAGGTCGGCCCTAACCCCTGCGCTGGAGGTGCTTCGACCGCACGTGTTCGGGTTCCTGAGGGTGGCGTTTTCGGCGGACAACACGATGCACTTGAGCTCGGCAGGCTTTTCTCTGGCGGTGGAGCTGTGGGTGCTTTGGATGAGGCCCTGGGCCGCGGCGTCGATCTTGAGAGGTGGGAGCTTCGTTGCTATGGTCGTTGCTGCTGCTGCTGCTGCTGCTGCTGCTGTGGTTGCATTGTGTATCGGTTTCTGGGTTTTTGCTGGCTGATGGTATGCACATGCACATTGCACTCTGTCTGCTGATTTTGTGTCTAGTGGTGCTGGCCGCATGGAAGTGGCGGAATCAGCAGCAAGCCTACAGCGTCGGCAGGGGCGGCAGGCATAGGTGCCGCGTCTGTAACTCCTGATTTTCCACCCTCAGCATGTTCACAGCTGGAAAAACACAGCGGTTGTACCTTCCTGTTCAAACAGGGTGTCATCGGAATGAAGTCGTCGAGAAAGGGCTTGCCAAACACGCGTCCAACGGCTGTGGCAGCCTTCCTATATGCGTGCATTTCCGGCAGACTATTTTGTATGGTCTTTGGAGCGTGACGTGCCATGGAATCCTCTTTACCGTAGTTGGTCACGGGAACGTTTCAGGGTTCGGCGCTCTCGGAATCGCACACGTCCGATGTTACCAACGTTCATCACCGCGAATGGGTCCGACTCCGTCTCTCCCTAATCGGTCACTCTCTGTCCCTGTCTCGCCCGCGCGCGCGATTTCGTGGCATTCTGACCAGGTCATTCTCCCGATTCATTGAACACCAGCGATTTCCCCAGCTCGGCTTCTGCACAAAGTGGGCAAGCTTGTCCTTCTTCCACCGGTGGCACGAGAGGGAGTGCCAATCAGGGTGGCGGCTTGGCGCCTTGGATTTCCGGGGTGGTAGCTAGCGTCAAGAACTTTGTGGTGAGGCCCTAATCGTGGTGTTAGCGGTGGCAGTGATGCGATTTTGTTTATTCGCTTGCGTTGGGTATTGTCTTTTTGGAAGTATTTGTGCTGGGGTCGTCCTGGGTGTTTCTGAGGTTCAATGTTGTGTGTTTTGTTCATGCCGTTGGTGACAGTGGAGGCTCGCGGTTATTCTGCCGTAGAAGCTTCTCCGTTCCTCGCGTCTATACCGTAGGTGACACAACATGTCTTACCCCGTGGACCAACTTTCAAATCTGGGTTACTCCGCGATAGAGGATGTTTTCGGAAAACTTTGGGCGAGGCGGTCCCAACGCATCCAAATGTCATTGTCAGCACCCCCGCTCTTTCCTGCTGCCATCTACCGTGCTCATGCGAATCCTTTGCTGCGTGATTCCCACAACGGCCGTAACGTTCACCCTCCCCACGATGAAGCAAATCGAGCCCTCTCGAGCGAATAGCGGAGGGGGCAGGCAGACCGGGACGTCGAGGGGGGGCAGTGGTGCCTCCGCTGCAGGCGCGCGTGGGAGGGAGGTTGGTGGATACTCGTACGACCCCTGGGGTGCCTGGGTGCTGGAAAACTACAGCCTGTACACGACGGTCTTGGCGGCCTTCGTCCGCAAGGTCGGCAGCATGTCGTTTAAAGTGAGTGGTGTCAAGAACGTGCTCCGTACTATAGTAGTGAGCTGAGCAAAGGCCGGCATGGGTTTGCAGTGTGAGACAACAGCAACAACAACTAAATGTTCAAGTGTCGTCAGAACGTATGTACCACCTGTGCAGACACCGGTAAGGGTTTCACTGTAGAAACAAACAACAACAATAACAACAACAAAGGCGGCAACGACAACAAACCAAGTGTCCCGAGATTCGACTGCGGAATTTTGTTAAGATGACCTTGTGGCCGACGATGTGTCAGGAGAATGACGGGTCGGGGCACCGCGGGTATCACCACCACGGGGGTGGCGCCAACGGTCAAGGCAACCTCCAAGCGGAGATGGCAACCATGTTTGCGGACACCCGCGGGGCCAACCTCAGGCTATTACACCGCGTGGTGGACGTCTTTAGCCCGGCTGTCGCTTCTCTCCTCGCCTCAGCCCAGGTAAGGTTTGGGGTACCGGTTTTGGCATGCACCGGTGACGAGTTTTGCGGGTATTTTTTTTTCCCTGCCCACCACCGGCTGCCGTTGCCCGGTCGGCCACAATATCGCTCGCTTTGTGTGATGCTGGGGCTCGACTCTTCTTCTCAGTAAGAGATAGAATCGTTCGTTCTTGCTGGGATGGCCACCCATAATATCTTCCTCGGGGTTCGGGGTGCGAGGTTAGCGAGGGCGATGCTGCGGGTGTTGACGATGACGACGATGATGGTGATGACATTTGGTTGGTCTCATAGCGTTTGGTCGGTTTCATTCGGCCTTCCGTTTTTGGTTTTTGACGCGTCGCTCACGCCAGTCACTTAATGGAGAATATCGTCATTACTTCGTGCGCGACGACCTACAATATACGTTGGGTTGAATCTAGCATGTTCATGCTTTCGACGTGTTCCTCTTTATTGCCTATCCCCCGTGCCTTGGCACACCCCCGGTGCAGAGCGGGTGACAGCATGCGTACATTGTTGAAAAGGACGAGTAAAAAACGGGACGGTTTGAAACGTTTTCCAAAGGCGTAAGTGAATGCTATGGGTCCCGGTGGTTGTCGAGTATCAAAACGGGAGGGGGGCATATCTCACTAGAATGCCGATATGAGCCAGAGGACACTTTCGCTGCAATTGAAGAACAACCCCTGCCCGACATCCTCTCTGTCGCCCCAGCACACGTTGCGACAAGCACGAGACCAACGGCAGGGAGGTGCCGGTTCCGGTGCCGGTTCGGGGAACGGGGAAGGGCTGCGCGACGCGGAGTGCGAGATGTTGGACAGGGGGAGGAAGGCCGTGTCTGCGATACAGGTGGGCGTGGGCGTGCCGCAGAATATGGCCATGCGCTCAGAACCCAGTGACAGGAGTGACAGTAGATGTTTTGGAATGACTCGTCACCGCGGGTGGTTCCCTCGTCACCTCCAACAAACAAAAAAACAGGAAAAACGAAAGCACCTTTTAGGGAGAACATTGGTGTAGAGAAGAGCGGGTAACAAATGAGGATGTCATGCATGCTGTTTGATGTGTTTCCGAGCCCAACAGCGGAGCCAACACCACCACCACCACCACCGTGCACAGGAGAGCGCTTGTATATAGCGCAGCGATAGATGTTAGTGAGAGATGCCATGGTGTGAAATGTCCTGTTCCGATTCCAAGTTGAAAAAAGCGCTATTGGATTTGTCGACGATGTGATTCGTTTTGGTGCTCACGGGGGGCGGGTGCAGTTTTTTGTCTAGCACACAGCAAATGTTCCCATGCGCGGGCTCCCTTGTTGTTGGGGGGTGGCGCGGATTGGAGGGTGGTGATCGACAATCGAATCACTTGAGACCTGGCGAGACCGGTGCTTGTTAACGAAATTTATACGTGCACTTTTCAGGGGCCGAACTTGGTGACGCTCGAGAAGTACCAGGAGGTGGCAGAAGAGCTCCTCATCAACATCGCACACCTGACTAATCCCAGGGTATCGAAGCACTGGTTCGGTAGAGTGGACCGATGGGTGAGTAAAATCTGTCTACTAATCAGTATTTTGTGTTTGTCGTTTGTGTTCATCGCTACGGCAGCTGCAGAGAGTTGCTGCGGCTGCGGCTGCGGCTGTTGGCGATAATGAAGAAAACGAACATATTTTGATTATGTGCAGTGTTGCTGTTGCTCAGGTGGAATTCCCGGCATCTGTTGTTCTTTCTGCTGCTCTTGAGGTCGAATGGCGTTGCTTACGTATGCATGATGACGGTCACATCCCTGTGCTTTCGGGAGGGGGTTATTGTTCCTCGCTGCGTTCATTCGGACCTCTTGTTGTCGAACGCGTACAGTACGTCGTTAATTATGGAACACCGCGCAAGCTTGTACTCAACCCCCCCGTGTTTTTCGAACGCTACACTCTTACTGCCCTCATACTCAGCATCTTGGGCTGCTTGGTCAAGCCTGCTTGCAAACGGGCCTCTTTGAACTTGTACGCAAGGCCTCATAGTCAACAGCGCTGCTTTTTTCAGATGAAGCAGAAAGCTCTTGGTAGAGCACCATGCATCCGATTACAGGGTCGTGTACTAGCACGGAATGGTCTATCGTGGCAATCAAGCTCGCAGGTCAAGACGTGACCCAATTTACGAAGGGGCGCGAGTTCACCGCCATGTTGAGTGCCACGATAGACCATTCCATGCTAGTACAGGACCCCGTAATCGGATGCATGGCGCTCTACCAAGAGCTTTCTGCTTCATCTGAAAAAAGCAGCGCTGTTGACTATGAGGCCTTGCGTAAAAAGTTCAAAGAGGCCCGTTTGCAAGCAGGCTTGACCAAGCAGCCCCTTGAGGGTCTAGCATTCACTACTCTCTGATCCCATGCCGACCATCTTTCCCTGGATGTGGTGTGTTTCCTTCTTTTGTTGTTGTGTTTTTCTGAGCACTCAGTTTGCAGGGCCTGGGGCCGAAAAGATCACCGTGCGTGCTCGCGCTATCTCTAGCAAACTGCAGGAGCTCTTCGGCCTGCCACCCAACTGGAAACCCAAGGGTCACGCAGTGAGAGGGGCAGAGAGATGTTCAGATGTATGAATCGAGGTTATTTTATTCCAGGTTTTGCTTCCTTCTTTTTTTTTCTGGAGGCTAGGTTCGGTCCCCACTGAATTGATGCCACGATTTTGCAAGTGTTGGAAAGGTTGACCTCAGATATGAAGACCTTAAGAGTTTCTTGGTAGTTACCGTAAGGCCGCGTCGGTTGGAACGATACGGGAGTTAGAAGGCACTGATCGGAGACCGGCACGGTTTCATGTGAAGGCAACAACAACAACAACAACAACAACAACAACAACAACAACAACAACGAATCATCAATGATTCCACGAGTCGAGAGGAGTTGATCAACCAATGTCATGAATTGCCCCACAAATTGCTATCAAGGAGGATGAAGAAAGTAAAAAATGAACCAAATGTTTCGCGGCACAGGAGAATGGCCAAGGGGGGGCGCAGGGCACGATGAAGCTGTCCGAAATGTTCCACCCCGAGAGGGAAAAACAGGCGCCGTATTTCCTGTCGCAGCAGGGGAGAACACAGCTAGCGTCAGGGCAGAGGGCGTGCAAGTGAGTCGAGTGCGGCCGTTGCTGCCGTTGTTGTTACGTCTGTTGCCGTCGTGTGGGTGCTGCGGCTGTTGCTGCTAGTGCCGTTTTCCTTTTTCGCCGTAAACTCAGCATCCATCGGCAATAGTCACAGTGTTTAACAGGAGGTGACCCATTAAACGCCCTCCTGCGGGTTTCCATCCCATCCCAGTTCATTCGCTATTGTTCCCCGGGTATCTATTTTTTGCAGTTTGTCTTGTAATCTGTGCTGGACAAGTGCGGTCCGGGTACCCGCAGAACATGATGTTATCGCGAGAAGGGTTCCCGTGTACATGCTGCGTGTGCGTCACGTGTCTTGCACGCTCTTGATGGGGCACAATGACGAGATTCCTTTGTGCCAAGCACGTCGCAAGCCACAACCCCACTAGGCGTTTCACATACCGTATCCGACACAAGGTAACACCTCACACACACACATGCACACACACCCCGTGGTAAAACGCGTCGAATAATATAACGATGAAGCCATACCGTTGACGGTGCAACTTTCGTTTCTCTCTCATCACTCCTCACTCGTGTGCCCCACTCGTCACCTGTCAACCCTTACCCCTCATTGTCACTCGTCGCCTCACTTCCCACTCATCCCATTCCTGCTCGTCACTCCGCGCTCGTCACTCCCCGCCCCTCGCTTCTCACTCTTCGCTCATTCACTCCCCACTCCTCATTCGTTTGCCTCACTTTTCATTTTTTCACTCCTACTCTTCTCACTCTCCCCGTTACTCACTCCTCGCTCCTCGCTCAGAACTCCCCGCCCCTCACACTTTCACTCCTCACGTCCCACTCGTCACTGCTGTTCACCGCTATTCACCCCTCGCCCTTTCACTTCTCCTTTGTTACTCCTGATTCGTGTGCCTCGCTCCTTTCTCACTCAGGCCGTGGGACGTGGCGTACGTTGGGGATCCCATGTACCGCCCACGGCGTGCGTGGGAAATGGAAGCGCTAATCGCCTTGTGGGTGGGATTGTCGGAACTGGTGAACTCTCGATGGCTCGGGTGGAGTACGCCGGTGAGTTTCCGATCACGTGCATGCACATCCCAATGCTGAGCATGCACTACTTTCATCCTATCCCTGACCATCATTGTCCCTGTACCAGTCTGAGTTCAACACCGCTGCCACGAGACAGCGAAAGAGAGAGAGAAGGATAAGAGACAGAGACGAAGACCTTTTTTTTTTCAAGTTCATCTCATTGATTGCCCTTTTCCCCGTCCACTTTTCTTTCCCGCATTCAAAGCAGGATAGAGAGGGGGGAGACAGCTCTCGTGGCAGCGGTAGCGACTCCGTCTTCGATGATGAGGGCTCGGGCAAGGCGATCGTCCAAGGAAAGGACTTCCAGCGGCGTGTTTGGAGGGAGGTGCGGTGGGCGGGCCTCCCCTGCAGGGTCAACCTAAGGCCCCTCGCGGATGTTCGGGCGGTAAGTCTGGTATAGTGCGATCGCTCTCGGTGGTCACAGGCTGAGAGGAATTCTAGAGGGTCCATCATCGTGCGGTGCTGCCTAGAGAAGGATGCTTCGGTAGGAACAGACGTTTGTCGAACGTTTTTGTTTGCGAATGTGTTGGAAGCTAGTTTGGAGTGCCTGTAACAAAGTGCTTCTTTGGAGGGGGCCAGCTAGCTTGGAGCGCGTGAAACAAAAGGTGCATCTTGTTCTTTTTCCCTAGAACAGACGATCATTGAACGATTGAACCGCTGTGTACATGAAATAGAAAACCACCCGCGAAAGTTCTGGCGCGCTTGGAAGATGTGCGCACCGAAGTGTGGGTTTTATTCTGTACCATTGAATGGGCCAAAGCACGCTGAAGCAGAGTTTGCCTGGTCCTGCTGCATGGTGGATATGCGACACCTTCTGTTGATTGCATATTTATGTCGGTGTTGTCGCGCGTGTTTTAGACAATGCCAGCAACTGTCAATTCGCGTAGAGTTAGGCGATAGGGTCAAATTTTTCCAGCGCTTCAAATCGCCGGGGGTATCGATCCGCCCCCCCAACCGAGTTCATGGAGAAAAGAATGCGTACGCTATCAACATGGCATCTTTCATTCGGAATCGTATTCACTCACGTCCGATCCGCGCGTTCTCTCTCCGCTACGGCCATGGTAGCTTCACGGCGGCCGTGAGTGGTGTCTTGATATGGCTTCAAGCGCCATCACTTCCTATTTGGGCGTTTTTTTTCTCTCTCTCGCGCGCGCGCCGCGCGTTTGGGTCGTGAGGACCGTCTCGTTTTCGGATAATGCGGCCGTGAGTGGTGTCTTGATATGGCTTCAAGCGCCATCACTTCCTATTTGGGCGTTTTTTCTCTCTCTCGCGCGCGCGCGCGCGTGTGGGTGGTGAGGACCGTCTCGTTTTCGGATAATGCGTATTTCCTGCCCTATTCACAGTGATGTCGTGTTACGTTTTTCTTCCGTCAGCCGTACCGGTGACACATGCTTCCTACCCTGGTTCCGCGCGATGATTTTCGTCGTCTCCCGTCATCTCTTGGCTATTCCTCATTCTATCATTCTATTCCTGTCGCCGCGGGTTTCACGTGTGATTTCCCTCGATCATTTTCGTCGTGCCCCCGCCGTTGAGATCAATGGTCTAACAATCACGGCATGCACGACTACACACACACACACAAACCGCCTTTCTTGGCTTTTCATCCATTGTAATCCTGTTGCCGCTCCTCGTTCAACTCGTAATCTCTCCCCGTCGATTCCGTTTCCCGCCTCCCCCCCTCACTTGGCGATTCTTCATGCTGGTCCTGCTTCCGTTTGCCGCCGGCTGTAGACGGTCGGCCTGGGGGTCGCGCTCTACGTTCTGTGGCTGGCCTACCGCCTTAGCTCCGTGTGCGGCGCCTGCGTGACGGTTGTGCTGGGAGCCTTGGTCGTCCGCCTGTCCACCATGACCACGGAATACTCATAGCCTGTGAATCATTCCAATCGGACAGACAGCAGGCGCTGCTTGAGGTAGACCGTGGACTACGAGTCGATGGGTGAATCCGACCGGGTTACTACAGGCGCCTTTGAGAGGTAGTGATGGGAGGGAGCTTCTGTGTGGGGCCCCGGGGGGGGGCTTCGCGAGTACACAACCGTCTTGCCGGAGAGGGTGAATCAAGGACGAAATGGCGTTTTGTAACCCTACCCTGCTTTGTTTTTGTGTACACGGAGTTTGTTGTCTTGGCAAGCGGTGGGGTTTGCTCTGGGCCTTTCGTAGGGTGAGTTGACGCTTGTCCCTTTGTTAACTATATGGAGGAGGTGATATCTCGAGAACAAGGGCTGGGTAGAGGTCGTTTTTCAGTAAAACATATGGGGTGACGACAATGCTGGGCTGGAAAGGTTGAATACTGAACATAGGATGAGGAATGACTACGAAGGTCCTGCTTGAAAGAGTTTGCCAATTCTTTGTCCGTGGAATAGAGGACGGAACGTGAGTCGCGCTCAGCAGCATTTTTATTGAACGGCAGACAAGTAGGACTTGGGATCTAAAAGCCATGGGTGGGGCGACGACATAAGATAGAGAGGGGGAGGGCTATGTATACGAAGACAAAGCTCGCTGTGACTGATTCACTCGAGACTTGAAAGCACCAGTCGGAGGAAACATGACTTGATCGACCAATTGGAAACCTAGTTGTCGTTCGGTGTACGTTGTTACAGACTTGAGGGAAGGCTCGTTCGAGTTTCACTTGTGGAGGAAGTCCGCTTTCTCGCGGCAGCATGGTGTGGCTGAGTGCAGGTTTCCTCGTCAACAATTTCATCAACCGACCCTTGCTCTCTGTTCAAGGAAACCAAAGCATGTTGAGACACATGGAACACGAAACGAAATTGACGACGAAACGCAGGCTCGAAGCCTATTCTCGTATCCCCCGCGAGACACGGGAGAGATACTTCTGAGGCACATACAAGTAGTCGTCGCAAATCCCAACGTGCTCTGCATCAAAAGCGTGCTGGAGGCTACTACCGCTAGCCATTTCACTCATCACAACCGCGCGGAGAACACACATCGTACATGTTCTTAACTCCTACCACACTCTGTGGCATCATCCATACGCTCAACGATTGAGAATCCCACTACACACAACCAGCATTTCGTTTTTGTTCTCCCTTGAATAGTTCAAACCTACGCAGGAAAAACACTTGCTTCCTGATGCTGGAAGCATCGCCAGACAACCTACACGGCCGATAGAAAAAGCAAACCAGCATGAGGAGACAGGACCCGCGTACACGGTCATGGACCCCCAAGCGCGACTAGGCAGAGATGAGACATCTAACGCGAGGAAAACACGCCGCACCGTATAACGGTTTACCCCCCCACTCGTGTTTCCTCCGCACCCATCACGAAAAGGTCGGCAAGGATAAGACAAACCAGTCACTCCCCAGCTGAGTATACAAAGCACTGCATGACACACCTTGCGCTCTGGCGCGGATCCAATCTCAACATCTTCGCCTCGTTAGGGTGGAGTCCATGGCGTGCAGTAGGCCGTTCGTTCGTTTTGCATGCGTGGTAACTTTCGTTCAGCGGGAAACGTGCAGATGTGTGCACTTCTTCCTCCCTTGGCTGCCTCCGCCCAAACAGGGAGTCGCCCCCCCCCCCCCCACGAGACTCGGAACGGCAGTGTTTCACACACAGAATGTCTAAAATATTACTAGAGGTCGAGGTGCTCATGCCACTCGTGAAACATGTCCATGCCCTTAGAGTCGTCCATCCCCTCCCACTCCAGCAGCCTCTTGCCCTGCAAACGGCGGTTGATGCGGTAAAAAACCGCCCCGAACACGATCAGCATCCCCAGGAGTCCCAGCTCCGTGACAGGGTGGTCGTAGATGAGGCACGACACAAGGATGCTGAGGGCTATCCTCGTCTGCAGTAGTAGCAGCAGCAGCAGCAGCAGCAGCAGCATGCAAAAAACGTACGACGGGCGGCGGAAAACAATTGAGCTGCAGCGAACACGAGGCAGCTTGCGGATGGTATATCGCGCTTGCCGAGAAAGCGCTGGGTGTGACAAGGCGAGCGGGTGATCCAGCAAAGGACAGCAGGACTTCCGCAGGTGGGGTGATTATCCATGAGATATAGCTGCCCGTGACGCACAAACGCAGCGCATAATCGTCCAGACTATGCCTTCTCCGACCAGATCCAACTAAGGATGTGACACACGGTCTTGAACTGGCCCAAACAGCCTGAGAGCAAGGAACGAAAAAACGCTCACGCATTATCTGAGCTCGACCCAACAGTCCACTATTGCCTGACAAGGAAACCAAAAGCAGTCAAGACCTGCCAAGGCCGAATCCAAAGCTCTCCATCGACCAACAATTACTCGTGCTCAAAGGAAAACCCGAAACCACAACAACTGTCTGTCAAAAGCCATCCGCCACGAACAATACATATAATGTATATATAACCATTGCGGGGTGAAACGACCACCGAAGGCGTTCGCGTCAGTTGGACCAGTCAGTTACGGATGCTGGAGGTACTGAACAGACTCTAGGACGGTTTTCAGTACGGAGACAATGACACAGTTTCTACTGTGAAGGCAACAACAAACAACACAACAACTTACAAACAAACAACAACAACCACTACCACAACAACCGAAGCAACAATCCACAAACAACAACATGGACATCGATACGGCGGTGCCTCCTCCTTACCGTCATGATGATCGCGAACACAACCGCCCCGAACGACCGGATCGTGTGGAAGATGAGGAGCTGGCCGATGGTCGAGCACACCCCGAAGGCCACGAAGTGAAGGTGGATCTCCGGATGGTCCGACACGAAGGCGAAGAAGGGGACCAGCTCGTCTTGGTGCACCAGGGTCACGAAAGAGAAAATCGTGCTGAAGGCCGTCATGACGAACATCATCTGGATCGGGCTCAAGTCCTGGGAAAGGGTCGATTTCCATTCCAGGGTTTGGGGGGGTGGGGGGGACATGGATGGGAATGTGGGTTGAGGGTGGAACCTATGCATAGAAGTCTAGCTTTGAGTTGTGGTTGTAGGCGAGAAGCGAGGCATGGTTTTGAGTCTTTCTAGAATGTTGGGCGAGAGTTCTTGTGCCTGCGCACGTGCAACGACCACCACAACAACCATACTCATGCGAAAAAAAAAGTCCACACCCAACAACAATAACAGCGGCCAGCTGTGGCCGACGCGAGGCAAGCAGCATCGTGCGACGCGGGAACGCCTCTTGGTTACCCTGTGCTTGGTGAACATGCGGCTCTGCCACTGCGAGGTGAAGGAGTCGAACACCAGGTAAAGAGCCAGCAGCATCATCCCGCACGCTACGCTGCTGCCCTGCTCCTGCTGGCCGAACATGTCTGTCCCGAAGTCCACCCCCTCGGAGGAGTTCTGGAGAAAAAAAACGATAGAAGAGAGAAGCGACAAAAAAAAAGTGGAGGAGTGAGATGAACGTGATGGTCGGCTTGTGGTTAGACATGAAAAGCGAAGCAAACTACTCATGACGGTGTCTTTGGGCGCTTGAATTTCGATTCGACGTCAATAAAAAACGTTCTAAACCTTACCTGCGTTCTGATACACCTCGAACTTCGAAGAGTAGAAGAAAGGAGGCTAAAGGAGGCATATCGGCAACACACCCGAAATCAACAAGGGGCGAGCTGCAAAACCAGCGCTCTCCAAATGGTTATCTGTGATTGGCGCTCTTGTTTGCTGTATGCTGGTGGGTCATCCGTGTCAAGCGGTAGCGATCGGCTCTACTTATCATCTCGTGAGCTAAACCACATCCGTGGAGAATAGCGGGACCCGGGGGGGACGCAAATACCGCTCCAGAAAGACGGTGTTGCTGGCGGTCGTTGTGGCTCGGCTCTGTTGTGTAGTGCACAACCAGCCTTCCAGCATACGCAATGGACACCAACACGCACACCTGATGATATCTATCTACCCTTCGGGCGATAGCACGAGTTATTCGGCCCAAGTGTACATTTCAAAACACCTTCAATCTCAGAACGAAGTTGCTCCACGAAAAAAGACGGACACCTATGCAAGGGACAGGTGGTATTCCATCTAGCTCGTAAAACCATCACCGTTACGCACCGGCGATAACACAAAAAGGCGTTATTCCATCTACCTCGTAAAACCGTCACCGTAACGCACCGGGTCTAACACAAACAACATCCCATGGCATACAAGGAGGACAATTTGGTCTCTGTGACGATCGTACCAGGAAAAGAGTGATCCCCAGGGCGATAACGCCTGCCACGACGTAATCGTAGAACGGGTACTCCTTGTTTCCGAGAATCTTGCCCATGACCATGATGGGCACGATCTTGAAGCTCTTCGACAAAACCTGTTCCCGCGAAACGAAAAAAGATCAGAAATTAACGAGAATGGCGCGCACGCTTTCATCAAGAAAACCGAAAGCGAAAAAAGAGAAAAAATGAAACAAAGAGATTGACGCGCACGCTTTCATCAAGAAAACCGAAAGCGAAAAAAGAGAAAAAAATGAAACAAAGAGATTGACGCGCACGATTTCATCAAGAAAATAAAAGAAAGAGAAGCACCCCACTTCCCCTGGGTGGGTCAAACAATTGCTGTGAACCCCAGGCAATGGCTTCCCTTGGGTGGGTCTACTATAGCAATTATTGTGACCCCCAGTCAACGGAAACCTCTGAATAGAATAAGCCTCCATGTCACCGAACCGCAAACAAAGCTAGCTGCCTTCGAACCGTCTCGGCGAGGGCATCAACTCTCCGGAGGCCCGTTTCGTGGTACTCAACTACACACGCTCACTAGAATCAGGGTGCGTGCTCTTCGGGAAAATGGGCTGTGGGGGGGAAACAACAACAACAAACAACAACAACAACAACAACAACAACGACGACAGCCAACGCCAGTACGATGACGACGGCAGCAAAAGCCAGACACACACACACCCGAAACGAACCTGAGTCGGGAAGGTGACGTACTTGAGCGCTTCATACTGGCACCACGAGCTGAGCATGTTCGAAACCGCTGGGAAGGAGTACTCGTAGGCCAGAGCCTTCGACCTGGGGTATGAGGATACATGGCACATCACATGAGAGAATGACGAGGCCGAAATAGAGCACGTCAGAGACTGTGATATGCGGTGTTGAGGCTGAAAACGCACCAAATCTAGAGCAGGAAGCTGACGCTGTGTATTTCTTCGGCCGTTTCATGCACCTTGGCTACCATCCGTAAAGCATACACCTGCGGACCCCCCGATCGGGGGCCTTCACCTGAGACACAGCCGGACCACGCGATTGGTTGAATCTGATAGAAGCGTAGAAACGCGATGACTTCAACCCTGCTCGTCGGGCAAAACTACAAATACGTCCCGTTTCGCGACAAGTGCACAGGTCCAAGCATACCACGGAATACACAACATGAGGGGAGAGACTGCGATCCCCAAAAGATAACAAGATCCTCCAGAACGGCGCCGAATCCTCCCTAACACCTTAACCCCACCCGTGTGACCAAAAGCTATTATATTATAGAAACCCTTAAGAAGCGTCGATGCTTCCATCGTCCACAAGCGGGCAACACGGGGACTATGTACTCAGAGCGACTAACATCACTCGGTCACCTCAACAAGGCAGACCCGATCCGAAATGAACAGTAGTGGTGTGTCGGTCACGTGTTCAGCCGGGGGAATGTGTGTGTGTGTGTCATCCCCGCGCACCGCAATCGCGGGTGAGACCGCACCCATCGCCCAGGCCAACTTTCCTAGCTCGATCGATTGGTACATTGCTACACAACAAAGAGGAATGGCAGAAGCCACCCGTGTCGACACTGGCAGCCTCTTCATCGTGGAGAAATCGAGTTGAACACAAAATCCCGTACAGCAAGGGTGCGCTGAATCGAAAACCCCCAAGTTTCAACAGGGGGGAGAAGAACGTGTTTCTTTTTGGGGCTCTTCAAAAACCAAGTTTCAACCGGGGGGAAAAGAACGTGCTTCTTTTTGGGGCTCTTCAGAAACCAAGTTTCAACAGGGGGGAAAATAACGTGCTTCTTGGGGCTCACCACTTGGGCCTTGTGTAGTGCATCATTCCGGCGGAAAACAAGAAGCCCAGGAAGCGGTTCATGAACACCAGCCCGTACGAGTAGGTAAAGTGCTCGCCGTCACCGTACTCCCCCTTCAAGATCCGTTCCTAAAGGAGGGAGACCCCAAGCACGACGTTGAGAGAGGAGGAGGAGCACGACGTAGAAGGGGCGAGACAAAGACGAAGGCGAACAGAGAGACAGAAACATAGAGGGAGAGAGAGAGAGCAGAGAGAGAGAGAGAGAGAGCAGAGAGAGAGAGAGAGAGAGAGAGAGAGGGAGAGAGAAGTACCGGCAGGTTCGTGTCAGTCACAGCGTCACAATGAACGCCGTGACACAAGAATGGTCTACAGTAGCCTGCCGGAACACCTCCAATAAGCAACCCGCAACAAAACAAACACACACACACACCATGAAGCTCCGAGGCTTGTCCAACAGTTGGCACACGTACGTACAGGCACTCTGACCATTCCGCAACACGTGTCACCAAAAAGATCCTTGCGGTAGCCATAGCTTGCGACCACAGGCGTCACACCGCTCTCATCCGACGGCCCAAGTTGAGAAACGCTCACTGTATCAACGGGTTTCGAAAGAGGTGAACCAAAACTGATCCCCGCCATCAACCACCGACGACGTCGTCAAAGACGACAGGCCAACCGACCGCCCTTGAGGATGAAACGGCCAAGTGAACGACGCCTACGCACGGGTTTCCAAAGATAAGACAAGAACAAACAAAAACGGTGGGCGAAACCGATCCGCGACATCAGCCACTGACGACGTCGTCAAAAGACGGTAGGCCGACCGACCGTGCTCGACAAAACGGCCCAAGTTGATAAACGCCTACCGACGAGTTTCCAAGTCATGACAACAAGAGTAGAGAAAAACGGTGAACAGAAACCAATCCACCGACAAGGTCGTCAATGACCGACTACAAAAAAAAACAATAGTAACAAAAACAAGGAAGCGGTTCTTGGACTGACCTGCAACACCCCCCACAGCACGAACGTCACGTTAAGCCCCACCGCCAGGATGATCAGTCGTCGGAACACCTCGTCCCTCGTCATGGTGTGCTCGAGGTCCGCCTGTTTGCCAACCCGGAGGAAGGAGCACTCCCCGTGAGTGAGTGCATGTAAAAAAAAAAAAAAGATATTCGATAGGAAAGCCACAACCAAGTGGAAAGGGTAGAGAGAAGGCAGGCCGACGGAGGTGGGTCGGGAAACGGGGCTGGGGGGGGGGGGGGGGGGGGGGTAAGGAGGGGGAGGGGGGGCTTAGGAAAAATTTCTTCCCCTCCCCCCGGGCCAAAAAATTGGGGGTTTAAAGAAGAATTTTGGAAACCGGGGGCCAATAATTTTTTTTCCAAAATTGGAAAGGGATTTTGCCCCCCAAAATTTTAAACCTCCCCAATTTTTTGGGGGCCCCCGGGGGGAAAAGGGTTTTTTATTTTTTCCCAAAAACCCCCCCGTTTTCCCCCCAAAAACCCCAAAAAAAGGCCCCCCCGGGGGGCAAAGGGGGGGGGGCGCCCCCCCAAACCAAAAAATTAAAAATTTCCCCCAAAGTTTTTTTCCCCCCTGTTTTTTTTTTTTGGGGGCCTCTTTTTTTTTAAAAAAAAAATTTTTTTTAAACGGGGGGGGGGTCCCCTTTTTGGGGTTTTTTTAAGGGGGGGAATTTTGGGGGGGGGGGGGGGTGGGGAAATTTCCCCCAATTTAAAA